TTCTACTGGCACTTGGTTTTCTTGGAGAACATGTGGATGCCTGGCTAATGATTAGAGGCTGAAGGCTGGGTATCTTAAACTTACATTTTTTAAATTCATTTTGTTTTTTTTTTTTTCGGGTTTTTCGTGCGGCAGTAGCTCCATGCTTCTTGTGTTTCTTGAGCCGCACAGTCCTTGCTACCAAATGACAAATGAGCCACATGATGGCATTAAGTCCACTGATGAGAGTTTTCAGTCACCCAAATTTCAGGGACCTAGGTTCAGAATTTGTTAGTAAAGATTGGGATTGGGTAAGAAGTTGTCTAGGAAGAATGGTTTTATATCAGGTGAAGTTCTAGCAGACCGTCAGTGTTTGAATGCTGTCTTTCTACCATGATTGGCTACTCCATATGCCCGATTGTGCTTTTGGGGGGGACAGTCCATGTGGCAAGAAATTGCCACTGCCTCCTTGCTAAGTTCCAGGTGGCATCTGAGCTGGGTTTTCTTTGTCACAATGATGCCCCATTTGCCTTGCTATATGGGATGTGTTCTCCATGGCGTTCACACGATTTCCTGCCACAGTCTCCACCCTGTTTGAAATGCCAGAAGCTCAGCATGCCGTCTCTTGAAGATTCATTGAGATTTAACACATAGTTTTCATATGACATAACTGCCAAAATGAGAAAAATTGCTTTAGCCAGCTAAGTAAAAGAATACCACCTGATGTTTCACACCGTATGGATCCAAATATCAACTTTTTCATGGACAGCTGAATTTAAATGCTAAACCACTTAACTATATACCATTAAAAATAATATAGCTATATGACACACATGATGCTGTCACCTAAATTCAACAGTTACTTTCTTTCACTTTTCTAATACCTGTTGTAACATGGTGAAATGTATATGTGATTTCTGATTTACATTTCTGATTGCTTCATAGCTATCATTTTAATATTTTTGAATGCTCAAAATCACAATGCCATTATTTATACCATGCCCTATTTTAAGATCCATCTACATTTTCTGTTTTTGATTGAAGCCCAGTACTCCCAATACTATCTTAAGCAAGTGCTTTACCACTTGACCACTCCCTTCCCCCACTTTTTGTTTTTTTAGTCTCACTAAATTTCTCAGGCTGGTTTTGAACTTGTTACCCTCTCACTTCATCTTCTTAAGTAACTGGCATTACCACTATAAGCCTCCATGCTGGGTTAGATTGATTCCAATTCATTTTATCTTTATGAAAACCACTATAGGTAACAAACCTTCAAGTTGTTTTTCTTTCGTGCTGCCAGTACAAAGTACAGGCACCAACTGTTTAAACCAGGTCTTGTCTCGGAGCACATGCATTTCCTTTTCACTAAGGTGACCTCATACAACACTCAGAGTGACTAGTAATTGATTTTTTTAATGGTCTTTTCTATATTGTAACATCTCTTCTAGAGTAAAAGTTTTGAAAAGTCTTCAAAGCAGAAAACCACAGTACTTTCTCTCTCATGGTATTTGTACAACCTCATTTCCTTATGCCTACAATGCAAACCAGTGACAGAAGTAGACATTGATTTTGTGACTGGGGCCCTTTTGAAGTTGTTCAGAGAGGAAGGAGCTTCAGAAAACCTCAGAGTATCTGTGGCTGTAATAAACCCTCATCTAACATGTTGATGGAGAACATGTGCAACTCTTCCCCTATCAGCAGAAATTATACAGAGACTTTCCTTACCATGTCTTGATAGGGGTTGATGTTTTAATGTCTGCTGACAACTGGGGAGGGAATCGTGTTAGCTTACTTAGCCTAACTCTTGTGAACATTCCCCATACCTCCCAGAAAAAAAAACACAATGAGCATGTAAGTGCGGTGTGTAGAGACTCTGCTATAACAGTAGCATCCTTTATCTTTAGTGAAGGAGCTAGTAAGCTGTAGGAAGCTAGTGTCCACTTCTGGACAGATGTAATTCAGTAATGATACAGGTTGTCCTTGGTAAAAAGGAGATGAACCCCGAAGTTTGTGCACCAGTGGATACAGTATTTCATATTATAGCAGGGCTGTTGTGTTGCTGGGAACAAAGAGGAGCAAGTGAGTGAGTGCTGATTTTATTTTTTTTAAAACACTCTATAATGGCTCCTTAGCTGAAGCTCACAATAGAAGCTTTAAAATTCTGGAGCAGTTTGAGTTTTGAAGGGAAAAAAAAAGGTAAAGGTAATAAAGGCTCCCCTCTCCATGCAGGGGGAAAGAATACTGGCTTCTAAAGCTAGATGTTCACCTCTGCAACCCTGCCATGATTCATGCATTCAGCAATGAAGGAAGAGGATGGACTCTTTGGTCCTGCGAAGAAACTAATGCTACAGTGGGTGACTGTGTTCGCTTTTCAGTTCCGAGAGTGTGAGATGAGTTGGGTTGTCTCAGCCGAGGCGCCCATTCATTCCCGCTGCTGAGAGCTGCCCAGCTGACTCATCTCATGGTACGATGACAGGCCAGCGAAGGCATTTTTAAGGTGATGTCATCATGTAGCTTCAGGCCAGGTAGACTGGCACACACGCTGGGAGAAAGGTTCGGAATAGAACCTGCCTCTTAGCTGCCTCTGCTGGAAGGAAGAGCAGATGGTGGGTCGTTCACAATTGAAAGTGCCAAGCCCAACCTCATGCTGACTTTTGAGAGGTGGAAAGAAGGCAGGAGGAGGGGATGACTGACATCAATAGGCATCTAAAGAGAAGGTACTGATGGGTGGCTTCATTCACTCCATCCTTATGGTCAACACCCTCTTACAGGCTCAGAGGTTTCCTGGGAACTATGGGGAATGCTCCTGAGTTAGATTAAGTACAGCTGACACAGCTTCTCTCCAGCTTCCAGGCAAAACATCAATCCTTACCAAGACCCGATAAGGAAGTCTTTGTATACTCTCTGCAGATAGGCAAAGAGCTGCACACGTTCTCCATCAACATGCTGGAGGAGGACTTAGTACGGGTTTCCTCTAGCCCCTTCTTCTCCGAACAACTCCAAAAGGGCTAGCATCTCATTTCATCTGTCTCTTCTAGAATGTAGAAGATAGCCACTGAGCAAAACTAAAGCTGATGGGGAGAATAAGGAAGCTTCTAGGGTTAGAAGAAACGTCAGTCCATGAAACATTAAAGACTTCTGCTGTGGAATGTTCTGGCAGGGACCTATCACTTGGCAGGGTCTAAGCCTTGGGACGCGAGGTTCTGTGGTGTCAGGTCTGAAGGGGGCAGGAGATGGGAAGTGTGCCATGGGGGAACTGGTCTACAATGTTACAGCACCTAGTTAATCAGCAGCCAATCCATCACATTAAATATCTAGCCGTCATGTATTACCTTTCAAGTGAAAATGAATAACTCCCATTAAGAGCAAAATGGGTTTGAAGTCGATTCGAGACAGATTAAAGTACTGTTATGAATCTGTGTAGGGGGAGGGGAAGGGCCTGTGTGTAATATCCCTGTCCTTGTGCTTTTTAAATAATAGATGTAGTACAAAGTTATAGAGACTAGGTTATCAAGATACTGGGGTTAAAGTTCATAAGATGTGCATTCTGGGAAAAGCATCAACTTCCTGGAATATTTCCTGTATTTGGCTTTTTGTTTTCAAAATTATTTTGTGCTTTATGTGGGTTTAATGAGTAAATAATTGATTTTCTTTTTTTAAAAAAAAGTGCACTTCTGTAATGACAGCACCTTGGTGTCCATAACAGAACTAATTGCAAAGTTGGACACAGGTGAAAATACATGCCAGTAGACTAGGTTAAAGGTCAGAAACCAGTTTTACCACCATTAAAAGCGAGGCTTTCGAGAGCAGTGAACTTGCTGAGTCACATTGTTTTTTGATGGTAGCGGTAGATACACATTTTCAGAATTTTTTTTCTTACTGCTTTTAAGCAAAACTCTGGACTAGAGGTATGGCTTAAGTGGTTAAATGCCATCTGAGCAAGAAAACTGAACAAGAGCACAAGTTCCTGAGTATCAGCCCCCTGCAAAAGAAAAATCTGGAAAATAGAGCACCATGTCCAAAATAAGTGAAGAAGCCAACCCTTCCATGGAGACTGGCTGCATTTGAGAATAATGAAATCTACCTCTGTGCCGGAATGGGGCTGACACTGGAGGAACGATGCTGCTCGTTCTGGTTGAACCCTTAGCCCAGCTATTTCCTACCTAAAATCTTGTAGCTTCCCGGGTCCTTTCGGTGCTTTTCAGAACTGTCCCCAACACTTTCGCTTAGTCACTGTTTGGAACTCAAACCTGCCCCTCCCTGCTAATTGATTTTTGTGTGTGTGTGTGTGGGGGGGGTTGGACTGTTGTAAAGAGGCATGTTCCTGCAAGCACATGGGAAATTGTCCTTTCGTTCACCCGCTCTGAAGAGACTCCCATGTCTGAACCATGGGCCAGATTATAGCTTGGACTAAGTCCCTGCCTAGTTCTACTCTGCATCGATTTCAGCAGAATGCCGATCTAAAGTCAGTTGTGTTCCTCTCCACGTTGGCCCACAGGTGTCCACTGAACGCTTCTCAAATCCTCGTTGTGAGGTTACGTAGGACATACTATGTGGTGATTCCTAGAGGCGGGAGATACAAATTGGGATGCACAGTTCCTTTCATCGCTGCATCAGCACATCTCAGATTCAGGCTGGCAAAGCTACTGGAGAGACTTTGTGACCTGCCCACAGCCCTTCTGCCCACCACGGATGCAAGGCAGTTGAACTGTGTTTAGATGGGAGAAGTTAGAAGAGACTGAATTTAGCTCAGTCTAACTAAGAGCCTTTTGTTGCTTCCCCCCCTCTTTTGCCCAATATTGAGTTGTTAAGGTAGTGACAGAAATCCATGGGGGGGAAAGAAACACTTACTTCTTTTCCAATATACTTGATAAGTCAGTCCGGATGTTCATCCTTCCTAAATTTTGCTGTTTAGGGAAAATGCTGTGCTATAAATGAATGTTGATTTACACCCAGAACAAACCTGGTGGGAAGTGATCTGGTCTGGCTACTGCACTGCATCTTCCACTTTTTTCTTCCAGCACCGTCCAGCCAGCAAGAGAAGGAGCTGACAGAGTCTCCTGCAACCTCCAAACGCATCTCCTTCCCAGGTAGCTCTGAGCCTCCACTCTCTTCGAAGCGACCAAAAACATCAGAGGAGATCAAAGCAGAGCAGGTGAGGCCAGAGGGGGCTCTGCTGCTGGCGGGCACTGTTTTAGGCCTGGGTAGGGGATGAACTTGGGGTAGGCAGGCTTGAGGCAGACACTTACCTGTGGGAACCCAAGATTCAGCCCAAGGCATGGGTGTGTCTCCCCAGATGTACCAGTGTCCTTACTGCAAGTACAGCAACACCGATGTGAACCGGCTGCGGGTGCACGCCATGACCCAGCACTCGGTGCAACCCATGCTTCGCTGCCCCCTGTGCCAGGACATGCTCAACAACAAGATCCACCTCCAGCTGCACCTCACCCACCTCCACAGCGTGGCACCCGACTGCGTCGAGAAGCTCATTATGACGGTAAGGCAGCCCAGGGCTCCTCTTCCTCCCCATGATCTGCTTCCTCCCCAGGTCAGAGGTGATGCGGTGACAGGAAAGAGATCTGTTTGTGGGAAGAGAAAGCCAGAGCGAAGTGGGGAATGGCAGAAATGCATCCTAGCTCTGCGGCCAATGTGTCACTGTTCCTGTCTTAGACTTGGCGTGACCCAGGCCAGAGTGCCGAACCTGTGTCCCCATCAGGATGGAGAGGCAGGCCTAATCTCTTCTATGATGAAGCCGTTGTTCAGATTCTCCAAATCTTACTGAGCAAGCACCACTACCTCATCTTCAGAATAGACCCTAGAACATATGACCCCTTCCCATTAACATGTGGGGAAACCAAGGCTCAAAGAAGTCCCTACCATTTGTTAAGTGGTAGAGTTGAGATCCAAGCCCACATTTTCCAACTAGCCTGCGATGTAGATCTCAAGTGGATACTTTATTCTCAAAGCAGCAAACTTGTCTGTTGAATATAGCATGCTGCTTCATGACTATTTGAATACAGAATTGCTGGGCCTACAGGTTTTGAGTAAAACTATAAATATAGCCCCAAAAAGTCAGTATAAAAATTCTAAACAAGGCACTGATGGCCTACTCCTGCAATCCTAGCTACTCAGGAGACTGAGATCTGAGGATTATGGTTTGAAGCCAGCTCAAGCAGGAAGTTCATGAGATACTTGCTTATATTAGTTGCCAAAAAGCTGCAAGTAGAGCTGTGGCTTAAGTGGTAGAGTGCTAGCTTCCAAAGAAAAAAGAAAAAAAAAAAAGCCTAGAGATAGCACCCTGGTCCTGAGTTCTAGCCCCAGGGCCAGCACAAAAAAGCAAAAGAAAATTTAAATTCTAACTATAGCATGCAAACATTTAAAAATATTACAGATGATAGTAATGTCTTGCTTTTGACTGTGTATGGGGGCTGCTATGATGTCCTTTCCTGGCTATTAAGGAAGAGCCACCAAAAAGAACAATTCATGTTTTTTGTTGTTGTTGTTGGCTGTGGGGCTTGAACTCTGGGCCTGGGTGCTGTCCCAGAGCTCTTCATCTCAAGGCGAGCACTCTACCACTTGAGCCACAGCATCACTTCCAGTTTTCTGGTGGTTAATTGGAGATAATCTCACAGACTTTCCTGTCCAGGCTGGCTTTGAACCATGATCCCCAGATCTCAGCCTCCTGAGTAGATAGGATTACAGGTGTGAGCCACCAGTGCCCACTGTCTTAGCATTATTTCAACAGTGGGGTAATGGAAAGTTGATTTGATTGACTTTTCACATGGAGATTCCAGAAAGATCATCTGTTCAGAATTCCACATTAATCATGTGCAGGGCATTTCTAGTTCCATTTGGTGATGAAAAATTAATAAATAATGTTGCAAGTGATGTTTAGTCATGAAGAACATGCAATTGATGATGCATCAAGAGAACTCTCCTAACAGCCAATGGGGACTCATAGGTGATCCTTCTGGAGATCCTTCAAGTACTAATTCCCTTTCCATGAACATTTTCCAAATAGGCTGGTGACCGCCACAGAGAGGTTCTCTGTAAGAGGAGCAGATCATAGGTTGCCAATTGCCCTGCCCTCTTACCAGCCCTGGAAATCAGAAGGGCGTTTCCCCAGGCCTCATCTCCCTTCCCAAAGTCTGATGACCAGGAATCCTGGGAGCCTAAAACAAAAGAAAGAGGTGTGAGGGAGGCATTTTTCAACCACGTGACTACATGTTGTTTTTGCTCAGGTGGTTAGTTTTACTGCTTGTATAAATTTAGTGTAAAGAACCTGGTTTACATAAGATAGTAAAATACTTACTTTGACATCCCTAGGGACTAATGCATAAGTTATATTTCAAATATCCCTTGTGTGTTACATTTGCAGGGGGTGTGTTAAAGTTGGAACTCAAGGGTCTTGTACTTCCTAAGCAGCACTCTCTTGCTGAGTCAAGCCAGTTAGCCCTTGTTGTATCCTGGTTATTTTTGAGATAGGGTCTTGCTTCCAGGCATGTGCCTGGACTGTGGTCCTGTTGTTCACTTTCTACCATAGCTGGGATGACAGGGATATACCATCCAGGCTCAGTTTCGTCTGTTGAGATGGAGTCTTACAGACTTTTCTGCGTCGGCTGGCCTGGAACTGAGATGCTTATAATCACTGCCTTCTGTGTAACTAGGATGACCGACACACACCGTCCTACCTCGTGATTGGTTGTTGAAGGGGTTTTGAGTGTCTGTCCTCTAACCTCTTGCCTCCTTAGCTCAGCCTCTCAAATAATTGGGGTTACAGGCAGGTGCCACTAGTGCTCAGCTTGTCCTATTATTTTTTTATGACAGCAATAGAAGGTAGTGGTGAATCTTGTAATCACTTTGTCTCTTCGTTTACTAATAAAGTCTTCAACTTTATTAGTTGTGTTTACTTGGGTACCAAACCTTAAGATAACTCTGGAAGCTACTCACTAACCCAGCACGTTCATAAGCAATGATCTGCAGTCATTTTTTTTTTTTAAGATCTAGACAAAAGCAATACAACAGCCACACTAACTATTCTATGCACTGGAATTTGGTAACCACTGTTACAGACCCTCCATCAAGTACAATAATAGTTTGTACAGTGCTAAGGAACATGTAGTAGATGCATTCACCTGGACAACACAAGCATACAGGAGAAACTGCTCCCTGGAGAGGCTGTACTTGGCACCTTGTATAGAAACCCTTGTGTGTCTCGCTTTCCTACAACAGACGATAGAGAAGTTTTCTAGACATTTCTGAAAAGTGCACCAATTGTGGGAAATGACTTGTCTTGAGCCAAGTGATGTATTTGGATCTCCATCTTTTAGTTGAACAGAAGAGGAACACAGAGGGCTCTGGTGGGGGAGGGGGAGGATTTGCTGCCACCTCAGGGAGCACCCGGAATCCTGTTTGAGAACTAGAATCCTGACCTTGGTCTGATGCCACAGCCCTTCCTCTGAAAGTTTGGTGTTAAAACAGGATTTGCAATTGTTTTACAACTAAGTGACTCTAATGAACCTGTGGTTAAAATCATGGCCCCGGAGGGTATTTTGCTGTAATTTTATTAGAAAATTGGCCCTGGGAAAGTATTGGTTAGGCATTTTGACGATTTATCTGTTTATTCCCTGCCAACTAGAGCAGGAAGCTCTGGACACAGCCTGAGGAGAAATGCCCTGCAAATCACAGCTCCATTTTCCAAGCCATGACATTAAGGAGCGGCCAGTGTCTGGTCACTCATCCTCTGAGAAGGTGCGTTTGCTTTGTCCCCGAGCAGCGAGACTAAATGTCCATGTGGGGAGCATTCCCTCTTCTCCCCCAGTGGGCTGCCTGGCTCACTGGGGTGTCTTAGGCTGTGGAAGAGCCAGAGCTGGCTAAGTCTCACAGATACAGTTCCTGGCAGACACAGGGTGTGTCCAGGGTATGTAAAGCTATACATTCTGGTTTTTTTGTGTTTTTTTATTTTTTTGGCTCTCTGAGTCCCAAGTTTCAGGATCTAGCTTGGATTGCATTTTCAGTCCCTCTAAAAGTAAATTCTACCCAGATAAATGGAAATAGATTACTTTCCACACAATGTCTTTCCGTTCAGTTGTAAATGGAGAGCGCTTTGAGGAGGCTTCATTTAATAATACCTTATCAGACAGCTTTCAGGAACCTGCAGTGTCTAATATGTCTGTTGCTATGGTAACAGCTGCTTGCTTATGCTCTGCATCTCATATCTATGTCTTCATGGGGCCCCCTTCTTTTTTACTGATGAGGGGGCTTGAAAAATATTCTCCACTGGGAGCAACTGCGGTGCTGGTTTTCCACCATGGAAACTGCCCCGCCACACTTCCTTCTGCGTGGCCTATTGGAAACAGAGCTCCAGATGGTCTCTTTACACAGGTCACCTGACAGAGGAACTCTGGAAAGCTTCAGGGTGAAGAGGCTGGGCAGCTCCTTGCATGCCCCCCCCCCCCCGCCATGTCAGTCGGTGTTGCATACCTATTATTTGTAGGGAAGCTGGAGATCTGAAGCTGGGCTGGGAGATGTGGGGGCTACTGCCCTACCCTCATCTCCCCCAGGCTTCTGGTGAAGAAGGCTTGAGAGCATGAGCACTTGATTCTGTCCCCTAAATGAGAATGGGAGAGACCACCTACCATTCATTTCAATACACTTAAGTGATTCTAATTGATCTAAACAGGACATACCCCAGATCCTGCATCATAAATCTGGGAAGTGTTCTTTGTTTCACCATCGCAGAGTCACACAGGGCCTCACCGAGGAGAGGAGGATTGGCTCCCCAGCCAGGAACACCATCTTCTCTAGCCCTTCCTCTCTTGTCTCTTTCATAGTTTTTCATTGTTCTGCTTTGTGTATAAGCATGGATTTCCCTTCCATGCTCCTGGCTCTGCCTTGCCTGCTGTCTTCTCTCTCTCTTTGGAGAGCAAGTTTGTCTCCTGTGATCATAAGACAGCGTTTGAGAGTCTCTGTTCCACATGTGCATGGGTCTCTAGGACAGGCTAGCATCCTGCCCCCACTCCCACTCCAACAAGAGGCTCTCCGGTGGCCACTGGCCCTGGGGTGTCACACCCACCAGGGTATCTGCTCTTTCACTTTGTCTCCATCTCAGAGGAAAGTAATGAAAATAATCGGGCTTCATTAATTCCAAGCCCTGTGAGATGATAGCCATTTGGAGGCTGTTTGCCAATTAGATGGTCTAAATTAGAAGTGACCTTGGTATACCGCCACTGCTTGCCTCTCTGAGGCTAATGAAGCTTTTCTCCCCAATTCTCTTCCTCAGCTCTCTTCTCTGTGTGTGCATGCCCACGTGAGTGCAACTGCTCATGTGTTTCCTGCCCCCCGCCCCTTCCCTCTTAACCAGTGTTTCTCGTTTTCACTTTAAAAAAATTTGGTTCTGGCCCACATAAATGTTAACATGGTCCGCAGCTTTATGCATTAGAAACAACAGCTTCATCAATGACCCCACAGAAGCCATTTTAGAAAGGAAACTGGTAG